TTAAAAGGTGAGAGAAAGATGCTTGTTTTCAATGAAGCCTATTTCACAAAGCCAGCAAGGGTTAATCCAAACAGCCAAATGCTTGGCTTTAGCTGCAATAGAGAAATCCTGTGAGGTTGAGTGATAAGCCTCCAGCCATACCTGCTTGGATTCTCAAGGACTGTGCCTGAACATGTTGGGGATGGCTCACATCCAGCAGCTGCTGATAGGGAGTCCACAATGCCAAATGACTCAAAAGCCAAACAGCTTCATCCCTGCCCTGAGTGCATACCCAGCATGTGTCCAGAAAAAATGCCCAGAACCCAGGCACTGGGGACAGAAACAATGAGCTAAACTCTGCCCTTGGGCAGCGATGTGGCTCCGAGTGCTGGATCTGGCTGAACAGAGATCCTGACTCCAAAACAGATTCCAGAACACTGGATTGTTTCTAATGCGTGTCCTTGTGAGATAGGGTGGGTTTGGAGGTAAGGGGATGGTGGTAGAAAGGGCTGCATGTCATGTGTTTGGAGATGATGGTTTCAGGGTCATGTCATGATTTTTGTCGCTTCTGGCTTGACTTCTGGTTTGGAAGCGGTTCAGCAGAAATTGAGGTCATTTCAAGTGGTGCAATGACACTTTCTGAAAAACACTGGCTGCTTCATGCAGTGAGACTGAGCTACCAGCTGGGAGGTCTGAAAAGCCAGAGTTGTTCTCTGGTACAATGTGAGACAGGCAAAGGAGAAGTTGTCCTTGGAGGAGCTGGTGTCCGAGCATGAGCGGTGAGTGCACGCAGCACTTTCCAGAATTGGTTTTACACTTTAACACTGGCTGTGGCTTATAATTTTCCATTCTTGCTCAGAAATTATAGAGGAGTGAAAGGGAGATGGGTTTCAGCTGTCAACGCTTCAGGAGCATTCAGCAGCATTGCTGGATGAAAGGAACAACGTGGTCTTTTTGCTCTGCAGAGGTCTCAGAAATACCCAGGCATGAAGCCCTGTGTGGTTTTGGGCTTGGTGAGAGGGAAGGCAGAAGCTGGTGCCAGTCCTTGGTCCTCCCCTGGCTGCTGGAGCTCTTTGAAGATGGCATACATCTGGTGCTTTCTCATTTAGTCTATTCAAGAGACTCATTTGAGAGCAAGGTTTGTAAGGAAGAGCCAGGAATAAACAGCTCATGATGCCGTTTGTGGGATGAGAGGAAAATAAGAAGGGAATTGTTAAAGATGGGACAGTCAGTGAATAAAAGCCTGGTTATTAATGGGGCTGACATTTTGCTATGGCTGTTAGATTGTGTGTGTCACAACATGACTCTTCCCATAGTATGTGGAGGAAAGGAAAACATTTGGGTCTGTACCACAGCAGCTAACGAGACATTATCTTGCAAATAAGACAATAAGCATTATCTTGTTTGCAAGATAATGTCTCATTCTCTCTAACAGAGAGCCTGACATGCAGGGGAGTGTTTGTCTCCTGGGGATGGCCTTCCACCAGTGCTCTGCACTCTTGCAGGACTTCCCTCCCCTTGGCCTCATTCAATCCCACCAAGCAGACAGTCCTGAAATCACCGCTCCTTCAGGGACCCTCTAGTTAAAATTTTTGGTTTTCTCTCTCTTGGAGCTTTTATAAACTGAAGTTCTGCATGAGTTTTAACATCATCCTCTGTGCCCCATCAATTCAGTCACTGCTCTCCAGTTGGTCTAAATTGCATTGTCCCATTTTTACTGGTGACTACGGCCAGTTACCACAGTTCATGTCTCCTTCTGTTTGTGTTAGCCATGGTGACCATCAGCTTTTGTATCCTCAGGTATCTCTGTTCCTTGGCCACCTGTTCCCTCCTGGCTCTGAGGAGTGCAGTGTGTTGGCACAGCAGAAGGGTGCTGTGCTCCAGGGTTACTGACACAAACACGGGAAGGGTACCCAGGGCATGAAAGCACTCTGCCATTGCAAAGAGGAGTGGCAGATAATGTGAGTTAATATTGAACTGGGATTGTTTCCGGGCTGGCACAGCAAGAACAAACACGTTAGGAACCACCACAGTGTGAGGGATCACGTGGAGGGCAGGGCCATGGCTTCAGTGCTGCTCAGGACCATCACAGGCCACCCTGCTGTGGGGGAAGAGGGTCACACTCAGTTATTCCTCCTCTCCCCAGGGCATGAGAATAAATAGTCTTTTAATAGCACTGTGTGCATCCCCAGGGCTCCAGCAAGCCTTTTTAGAGCCCTTGGGATTTGTTATTAAGGGGAAAGCAGTGGCACCGTGTTGGTGTCAGTAAGAAGGGCGATGTCAGAGAGGCTGAGGCCACGTGTGCTCATGACCCAGAGGAGGACATTTCTTTTGGACCACTCTGGGTCCTTCACAGGTACAGGTCTCTGACCCTGGAAACATCACAAGGGCTGTGAACCAGCTCTGCCTTCTCATATATAACCAGCATATCAGAGAGGTCACTGGCATTGATGGGGCTCTTACCAATGGGGTTTAGCAGCTCTCTTGGAGGTATCTCCTATTAATAAGTTATTACCTGAAATGGGAGGGGTGGGGGGGGAAGTGACATTTTTGTGAAAGAGGTGAATTAGAAGGTGATGTCAACTTTCAGACTGCTGCTATTTTTCACTTGTTTTAGCACATTTGTTGCACAAGTGCAGTGGGGAGCACTCATCACTCCCTGTTTCTTATCACAAGATGTTTTTGCTGGATCACCAGCCTTGAACAGACGAGAGTTGTGTAGCCCAGACAATGGGCAATTTTCTTCCCTTCTCTAAGACAAGAGGCTTGGATGCCACAGCAGCCTCTCCCCTGCAGCTCTGTTGTGCAATTTGCTTGCCCACAGGGCTAAACCCCTTTAAATGTTACTAGAAGAATGATCTGGAGAGCCTTTCCCCCTGCTTTATTCCTCCTGGGTGCCATTTCAGTGATATTCACGTTAGAAAAATAGTCTCAGTAAGTACAGAGTATACCACCACATTTGGTCTAAAGAGCTGTGTAAGGATAAAAGCACCACTTTAATACATGCAATTTGTATAAAATTATCTGACAGTGAGTGTTCAGAATGGCCCCACCTGCAGCTCTGAGTCATGGCTGCAATTTTGACTGGGAGGTGGACATTTTATCAACTATGATTTTCTCACATCTGGGGAGCTGGAGAGACACAGCACTTCAAGAGACCTGCCAAAAAAAAAAAATCTAATTACTAATTTGTTTTGGACAAATTAGTAATTTCCTTGTATGCAAAGATGCTGCACAGTTTATTTACATATTTTAGGGGCTAGCTAACATTCTTTTTTTCTTCATAAGTCTTTCCTTGCTTCAGTTTCTGTGTGAGAGAGGAGAAAATACTGAACCACAAACCCACTTCTTACTGAGAAATCACAACAGCTGTTAAAAATTATTTGAAAATCAAAGGGCTTGTGTGAGGGAAGAAGCACAGCTAATCCCAACCTGGGAGTTACTGCTCCAGCACCTGGTTTCTCCTCCTGCCTTTCACTGCTGTTCTTTATGTCCTTCTGATATGGGACCTCTCAAGGAGAAGAACCAGCCTTTGGATGCAAGAGAAAGGATAACTCCCGGAGTACAGCTGCTTCAAGGTGTCTTAAAAGGGGCAGATCCCATAAAATGGAGAATAAAGTTCCTGTCACAGCACACTGCTACAGCTCAGCTCTTCCTGGAGAAGCAGGAATCAGGGATGTGCCTTCATAAAATGGTTAATTGATTACTGCCAGCCAGTGATTATGTGAATCATTGAGCACATCGTGGCTGTGCAATGCTGGAGATGTCTGAGACACTGACCTACCAAAACTGGCAGTGCTGCTGCTCAGCTCTTCCACCTAGGTGTGGAGGTCACTACTGAACCCACTGGCAGCTCAGCACATGCTGCATGTGTTTTATGAGGCAAAAGAAATGTTTGGGCAGAAGCAAAATCCACTGCTGGCCTGCAGGCAGAGCCACGTGAGATGTGACTGGCAGGTAATTGCAGAAGCACCTGGGCTTCCTTAAGGCTGAGTGTGCCAAAGGCAGGGGAGTAATGTCCGATGCAGGTGAGTGTGATGTAGAATCCTTGAGGGTCTACTGGCATCTTCAGAGAACACAGAGAAGGGAACGGTGCTGGACTGGGCAGAGGAAGAGATTTGTGGCCCTTCCCAATGTGATAGGGACCAAGGACACCACGTCCTGACCCATCCCCACCCACCAGCCCAGGGTGTTTGCATTCGCTGGAACTAAACCGGCCTGAGGTTCCACTGTGACCCCCATACAGGTAATGCACTTCCCATTTCTCTGATGGAAAGCAGCCAGTCCAGTGTCTGTGCCCGAGGGGGAAACCGAACTGCCTAAAGCCAAATGTCATCATCTTGTGCAACCTGAGCGCAGAGAGAACGCCCGGGGCAGAGGGAATGTGGGAATCCATCGCCAGGCGATGAGGCTGGGGAGTGCTGGAGATGCGGGCACGGACTGTGGGACCGACCGGCCCACGGCACCTCCTGCCCACACGGCCCGGCCCGGGTGGCTCCCTGCGGCTGGCAGGTCACCGGCTCAGGCAGCAGCTCCACCGGCACAGGTGAGACTAAAAGTTATGCTGCCACAGGATTGATCCTTCAGAGGATCTGCGTTCCATCCTAGGCAGGTGTTTGGTGCATGTCTGTCTCCTCCAGCCCGTTCCCTCCTGGACCTGAAACAGGAGATACAGGGCGCGGCACACGGAGGTGGGAGAGGAGGCACAAGGGAAGGCGCGTCTGCACAGACACCCCCGGAGCTGGGACAGACGGGACACAGGAGCAGCTCCTTGTCCCTTCAGAGGCAGCACGAGGACCTCGGGTGGTGCCGCTTGTGCAAAGCGCCCTTTCAGCAATTTGCAGCCGCAGGGGAGCGGGGACCGACACCTCGGCCCGGAGAACTCCGCTCCCGGGGGACGCGCCCGGGGCCCGGCCCTGAGGCACGGAGCGGGCGGGGAGGCGCCGCCTCCCTCACGTGATGGCGGGCACGGGCCAGGGCCGGGGCGCTGCGGTGGCAGAAGCGGGCGGACAGCGGGCACCATGCAGCTCCTGCCCAGCCTCTCCCCCGTCACCTGGCTGCTCCTCGTCGCCCTCCTGTGCCTCGTGGCCCTGTAAGTAGTGGCCGGTCCCCTGGAGGACCGGGCAGAAGTGCTCGGTGCCAGTGCGGTTCATTAGCGCTGAAACCACCCGGGACCCCCGCGCTGTCCTCAGGGCACAGAGGGTTGCTCAGGGTGTCTGTGGGAACCCGCTGCCAGCGGGAAGGAGCGAGCTGGGATCGATGGGGAGGGAAATTGAAGGAAATCCTTGACTTTTTAAAGCTTTTCCCAGGAAGGAACTTTCGGTTGTTTAAAGACAGCAGCGCCCGTGGCGTCCTTGGTCTGTGCCAGCTGGGAGCGGCGCAGGGTGATGCCGGAGCTGCTGCCAGCAGAACCCTCCCGATTAAATAGTTCTGTTGGCAAAATTTCGGCTTATATGGCTCAGGAGAGCTGTAATGAGTTATACAGGCAAAAACTTAATTTTGCTGTGGTAATTTATGTCCCTGCCGTGCCGCTGTACTGCGGCCACCTGAGCATCACAGGAGGTCTTTGCAAAGACAAACACAAGGGCAGGCCTCAGCTTCAGAACTCAGTCTCTCCGAGATCTCTCCTGAGTCACCTGAGCCACAGTTGTCTGAGCTGGGCACCTAAATGAGGCCCGGAGGTGCCCAGATACACTGGTTTGCTTAGGCTGGGCTGCAGCTCCTTTCAGCCCTTGTCTTCCATCAAAACAAACGCCAAATGATCCCGTGTTTATTGCAGAGTATCCTCAGCAGGGCTGCTGCTGGTCCTCAATTTCAGCTTTCCCTGAGTGACAGAAACCAGTTATTTGAGCAGTTCCCTATGCTTAGGAAGAAGTATCTTCTCTTTTCATTGCATAAGTGCTTCTCACATGCTCTTTGTTGGCAGCTATGGGATATGGCCCTACCGGACCTTCAAGAAGCTGGGCATTCCTGGCCCACGGCCTCTGCCATTTGTGGGAACTTTCCTGGAGTACCAGCATGTGAGTACCAGCAGCTGCTGCTCTCTAGTGTCTTAGATCCTTCTTATGGCTGGTGCTGTTTTCCCCATTCTTTGGGCATCTCTTTCCTTTGTCCTTGATTCAGTCAGATGAAAATTATGTTTTTTGGTAGGAGGCTTTTTGGACACACGGAGAACATTAAAGTTCAGGCTGACCTGAATGAGGTGTGCTGTATTTTAAAACTACTTTGTAATTTAAATTTTTTGTTTCTCCCTGTGTTTCTACCTGGTCTTGAGCAACTGAAGTTCTGTTGAAAACAAAAAAAAAAAAAAAGGATTGGAGAGATTTCTAAGACTGCTGTTTTCTGGGAACTGCATGTTTCTTTGCCCTTTTTATCACCAACATGAAGAGGCTGAATTAGCCCCAGAAATGCTTCATGCAATCACTTATTTTTGGGCCAGCCTGAGACTAAGACAGACAAATACATTTTTAAATAGAATTCAAACATTATCAAGCTACCAAACCTCATCAAATAGCAAGGCAGTAGCTGACCACAGGTAACTGGTTGCAAATGCAGAATAAGTGTATTGGCTTCAATAAAAGAGATGTTTTACTTGTATTTGCTGGGTTCACATCATTCATGTTGCTTCTTACTAATGGTTTAGTGAGCCTATTTGTCTCATAAGTTTCATTGTTACATGTAACATCAGTTAAAACCTGAATGGAAACAAAATAAAAATCTGTGTTCAGTAGCTGCAGAGGAAGATCGTATGAGGATGAGACAGCAGCAGCTCTAACTTGTTGAGCAGAAGGTGAAAGGACAGTCTGGGATCCAGTTCTGCCTCCTAACTCTGCTGACTAAAACTTTGTACCCTGTCATACATTGTCTTCATTACATTTTTAGATCAGGTTGCCTGGTAGAACTTGAAAGTGCCTTTTTATTTTTTTAATCTCTGCTCTCTTTTTTCTCTCTATTGCAAATGTCCCCCAAGCATCTACGTGATGCTTAAGAGGACCATGCACCTCCCAACCTCAACCTCTGCCACTTCCAATGGGCTGTGGGATGCACTGTGCTAACAGCTGTGGCCTGCTTTGATCACTTTTCACTGGCAAACTGTTCATTTCTCCTTTCTTCTTTTCCAGGGAGTCCACAATTTTGATCAGAAATGCTTTGAAAAGTATGGAAAAATCTGGGGGTGAGTTTCTACAGAACAAAACTACCAGTTTGGGGTGCTCCACAGCCCCAGAGTAGAATGGAAAAAGTTACACTGATGTTCTCTTCCTCAGTACTGTAATTCCAGCAGTGACAGTGTGGGATAATCAAGGTTTAGCACTGGGAAAGTCTCGTCCCATCTCTCCAAGCCTTCCTGCTGCTGGGATTTCAGTGTGGTGTGGGGCTGGGATGGTGATGGCCAGTTGATGGGGTCGTTTTCTTGCATAAGCTTTGAAAATCACCTCCAGTGCTTGGTGTCAAACTGAGCCTCCTGCCTTTGAAGCTGCTCTTCTGTGTCTGGAGCAGAAAGCAAGCTGCAGGCTGCCACAGTGTTTTTCATCTTGCTCCCTGCTTCTCCCAGAGCTGGGGCACAAGCTACCTTTCAACCTGCCTCCCTGCTCCCTGCACAGCGCTTGTTTAATGCAGAGGCCTCTTATCATGCTTCCACTGAGAACCTCTCAAACCAAAACAAAATTGCTCTGCAAAAAAATCCTGGGAGGCTTCATGAAACCTGGTGCATTTTTTCGAAAGATTAAATGTTCGCAAGCTTCTTGAAGATGGCAGCTTCCCTCAGCTGTGGCCCAGGGCTCCCTGCCCTTTAGCCCACACCACGACTTTTAAGTTTTTCTATCTCTGTTGATTGGAAAATGGAGGAGACAGATGAGGTTTTCACCTCTCAGTGCCTTGTAGGCCAGGCAGGAAATCTCTTTCCTCCACAGGTAGATTGTTTGGTGTGTGTTTCTTGTCTCCAGCCATCAGTAGTGGAAACAGCTCAGACAGCCCAAGTGCAGGGGATCAACATCGTGGCAAAAAGCTGCCTTTTATCTAAGCCCACACAGCTTTGACAACTCTTCAGTACCACAGACAATTGCTAGAAATGCTCATGCTGCCCATGTTTGTCACTGTTGTTCTTTTTCTCCTCTTTCACTACATCACAAACCAATTCCAGCCTCATCCTTCCAGCTGTTTTGTCAGAGGGCCCAAACCCTTTGTGCCATGGCTCTGGCCATGGACAGAGCAGGCTGCTTTTGTTCCAGCTGACCATGAAGGATGGACTGACTGTGGATTTCTATTGGCTTAGGTTTTATGATGGCAGGCAGCCTGTGCTGGCTGTTTTGGACCCCGTCCTCATCAAAAACATCCTGGTGAAAGAGTGCTACAGCATTTTTACTAATCGCCGGGTAGGTACCCAGTCCTGTGCTTTGCTTTTCAGTACAGAGCACGTGCAGCAAGACAGAAGGGGTTTCTTCTTGGTTTCTGTTCTCCTCTGAGCCCTTCAGCAAGTACTTGCTCTCTGATGTGCCCCAGTTTATTGATGGTACCAACATCAAAACTCTGCTAGGGAGATGCTAGGGAGGCCACTCTGGCTGGGACATTGGGCCATCAGCCTGGATGTGCCCTAGGGGCTGATGTCATTTATGACTCTTAGACTTTTGTTTCCATTTCTGTTGTTTGCTGCTTGAGGTGGAGCTGACATGACTTCAGGGGTCGAATCAATGCTCCATGGAAGATTTTTCTTTGCATTTTTGTCACATGGAAGGGGACTGTAAACCTTCACCTGTCTCCTGTTCCTCTGTGCAGAACTTTCGTCTGAACGGGATCCTGGGGTCAGCCCTCAATGTGGCTGAAGATGAGCAGTGGAAAAGGATTTGTACAGTGCTGTCTCCAACCTTCACCAGTGGGAAGCTGAAGGAGGTAAAGCACAGGCACTGGTAATTTGCATCCACAGCTGGAGGAGAACTGAGCTGTTTCTGAGTGCAGACTTTCCCCTCAAATGGGGAAGTCACCCTGTTTGCCAGGACCACATCCATGAGCACCTACATTGTTGGTACCATTCAGCCATGCAGTGTCTGGCTGCCATCCTGGGAAGGGAGTCAGGAGAAAGGGATGGGGGATGAAACAGCACACCAGGCATTGCAAGCTGAGGCTGTTGGTCCTATGGCCTGTATGTTCATCCTGCTAAACATCCCTCACACCAGGCATGTCCATTTTTCATGCACCCAGGAGCCATGTTCATCCCAGCTGGAGTGGATGCTAAGCTGGAGTGGGAGCTGTGTGTGGATTTTTGGAGGAGAGCCTTGCTCAGTCCTAGTCAGATGAGCTCTCTGGACAGGTTGTTAAAATGAGAAAAAGCAGTGACTGAGGCCTGGAAATGAGACCCTCCCCTTGCTTGCCCTTCCTCCCCAAGCCAGATGTGGCAAGTGGCAGATGGCAGTGTGGCCCAGCCTTGTTTGGTGGCAGAGAAAGAGTCCACAGTGCTTTCTGCTTTGGTTTGCATTTCAGATGTTCCATATCATTAATCACTATGGTGAAAAATTAGTGAAAAACATTGAGAAGAAAGCTAATGACGAGTTTGTGGCTGCGAAGGAGTGAGTAACTGTGGAGCTGACAGGAAAGGGTTTGTATTCAGTGTGGGGAAGGGACTGTTCTGAAGAGCCTTTTCCACACTGCAGCATGGATCCCTTGTCAGCTATGGAAGCAAACTCCACAGCAGTCATGGGCATGGCATGTTCCTCAGCACTGGGCTTGCTGTGCTCTGCTCAAATGGGAGAGCTGTGCCCTTTCCCCATTTCATTTTACTGGGGATGCATTTTGAGACAGGAAGCATTTCCCAGAGTTTTTCTAGAAGCTGCACAAGATACAGTATTTTTGGATGTCTTTTTTGCAATCTCTTTTACAGATGAAAATCAGAATATAGTTGTTGTTACCTGAGACTGCAGTGCTTTCCAACTACAGCTTAGAAAAGTTCGGGGAATTAATGCAATGGGAAAACTTCAAAAATAAAATGATGGTTACTGCCAGGTCAGGACAGATCTACTATATTAGGACTGTGAATTAAGAGAGATTCCTTCTCACAAGGATTGTTCCTAGATGGGCTCTTATTTAATGCTGTGGTTGGGTTCATCTCATTCACTCTCTCTTCTTCTCTGTTCAGCATTTTTGGAGCTTACAGCATGGATGTGGTGACCAGCACTTCTTTCAGTGTCAATGTTGACTCCATGAACAACCCCAATGACCCCTTTGTCACCAACATTAAGAAATTTCTCCAATTCAGTTTCATAAGTCCTCTGTTCTTACTTTTAGGTATGACAAACCTCATCTCATATAGCCCTGAATCAATGTCAAAGGTGCTGCATTTTCTGCAAGCTTCCTTAGTAGCTTTGAGTCCTTTTTGCCATATGGGAGATGCTCAGCACTCTGCAGGATTAGATTTACAGTCGCAGATCTGCAGAAGTATTTCCCCAGGGAAACCACAGCCAGGATTTTAACAGCCCATGTGGATCTTGGCAGCATCCTCCTATGAGGAGAGACCCTGTTTGCAGAGATGGTGGAGAGCTGCTCTATCAGAGAGCTGCACTTTAGTGTGGTATGGTGGTCATAAAGTAATATATAGAGGAGGTTCTCAAGTGCTGTTGCATCCCAACCATGGTTAGCTAAAAAGAGATGGAGACAACAAAAAGGGTCAAGGTCCAGATGTGCTGCTGCTTTCTATGCTTTGGGCCAGTTTGGATTTTCTCAGGCTCCCTTTGAGCTCAAGTGTGTTGGTCTCTTCTTTCCTTTTAGTGTTGTTCCCCTTTGTTACTCCTGTGCTGGAAAAGATGAAGGTGACTCTGTTACCCTCAGATGTCATGAACTTCTTCAAGAATGTCTTCACAAAAATGAAGAAGGAACGGGAGAAGGGCAGCAGCACGGTGAGTCCAGCCGAGGTGCCTGCTTCTCTTCAGGAAAAGTCCTGAGTGCAGGAGGAATCTGGTGGCATCTTCAGAAGCTGTGGAGCACCTGCTCTCCAAGCTCACCAAACCCAAGAAAGGCCAGAACCACACCCTGCCTGGGGGTCCAAGTGGAGAAAGTATTTGTGTTCCTGGAGGATCTGTAGTCTAGACCCTCATGTACTGAAGCCATGAGCTGTGAGTGGAGCAGGTGTCTCAGCAAGGACTTGTGCTGGGCAAGGTTTGCCTCCTCCCCACCCACATCTTCTCTGCCTCTGTTTCTCCCCAGGACCGGGTGGATTTCCTGCAGCTCATGATTGAATCACAGAACTCACATGATGGCTCCAAGTCTGCTGAGACCAACTTGGATAAAAGTATGTCTTGAGATGTGTCCTCCTCTCAGCAGAAAGCAGTAGTTCCTTATCCACTTAAAAGGGAAGTAGGGAGAGGATTTTAGTCATTAATCCCATGAAAGATTTGGGGTCTTAGTAGTGGGGCCATAATGATGTTTATCACAGATCAGCCATATTTTTATTGTATCTCATTTCCTGGGATAACTTCTGAGGTGTGCTTGTGCAACAAAGAACAAAAAGAGTGAATATCTCCTTACCCCCATTTCTTACTTTGCTGTCTCTGAAGGCCAGCAATGTTGGCTGTATATCAAAAAGCACACAAAGCACATATGCTGTGTGTACCTTGCTCACCTCTGAGCTCACCTCTGGTCCCTGTCCTAGGGGAACTGGGAGATAAAGGAACTAGGAGATAAAGGCTCAGCCAAGGCATAGTCTGTCAACTCAAGGCAGGATGCTTTTAAAATTTAGAGATGCCAGGACAGGGTATTTGTAGGACACACTGCACAGCATCCTGCACCCCTTTGTGGTACCAGAGGGTAAGCTGGATGTTTCCTTTACCAACTGTTGTGTAGCTAGGAGTAGCATTACCTAGACAGATGACTGGGATCCTGAATTCCCAAGGGTTAATTACTGTAATTTTCAGTTTCTTGTATGTGCTTCTGTGCCTTTTTTCAGCATTAAGTGATGAGGAGATTCTGGCCCAGGCTCTTTGTCTTTGCTGGTTATGAGACCACCAGCTCCACCCTCAGCTACATAGCCTACAACCTGGCCATCCACCCTGACGTGCAGCAGCGACTCCAGGACAAGGTCGATGCACACCTGCCCAACAAGGTAAAGAGGGTGGGCTTGTTCCCACCTGCCTTGCAAAGCCAGGCTGGAAACAGAGTGGCAGAGGTGCTGGCACTGAGATTCCCCTTCCCTGGAAGCCCTGGAAGAGCTGTAGGGGTGGCAGCTGCTGTGCTGTGTTCTCAGTGCTCCCGTTCCTCTCACAGGCCGCTCCCACATACACGGCCATCACCCAGATGGAGTACCTGGACATGGTGGTGAACGAATCCATCCGGCTCTACCCCGCCGGGGGCCGCATCCAGAGGGTCTGCAAGCAGACAGTGGAGCTCAATGGAGTGACTATTCCAGAGGGAATGGTGGTCATGATCCCAGCCTTCGTGCTGCACCGTGACCCGCAGTACTGGCCAGAGCCAGAGGACTTCAGGCCTGAGAGGTGAGGGCCACAGGGGGGAATAGCTGCATGTTCAACCTCAGCCCTGGGAGTGGGAATGGCAGCAAAAGTGGGCAATGCATGATTATAACATTTAAATTAGGCATTTATCATTGTCTGACATCTAGTCCCAGCATTACCGTGAGGGGAGTTTTATGATCTACATCCATAAACTGTGCATGGAATTTAATTAACTGCATTGAAGGGAGCAACAGTGAGAGCAGCTCCCAGCAGCTGTAACACTGAGGGGTTTATGGCCAGATATTAAAGCAAGAGCCATTGGGTGACTGGCACAATGCCCTGCAAATCAGCAGTGGAAGGGCAAAGATGGGTAGAAAATAAAACTTAATTTTTAACTCAAGTTCTGAAGCAATCTTTGCTTAGGAGCTCTGTCAGACCCTGCAAAATGATGCAATAGCCCAAAGCAGACCTGGGATACCATGAACCTGGTAATCTTCAGGTGGCCACCAAGACATTGATGCTTGGTCCAGAGAGAGCAGGACCAGACCTCTGCCCTTGCACCAAGAGCTGAAATACCCTTGGAAACTAATCCTGGTGTGGGGATGTGGTGACCTTTGAGACAAAACATGGAAGTGGTATCAGGCAGAAACACCTGTAAAGCCTGTGGTCACCTTGTGTTGGATTCAGAAGGAAACACCCAAATGCAAGTGCTCTGGCAGTGGGCCAGGCTACACCAGTTGCTCCAGCAGCCACATCCTTATTCCGGTTGTCAAACTTGGCATGGGTGGCTGGACAGGAGCTCTTTAGGGCTCACTTGCCTTGCTGGGAGTTCATCAGAGGGATGTGCTGGTGTCTCAGTACTGAGATACTTCACTTCTGACTTAGCATAGCTGAGGTTTGTACCTCATGCACTGGGAATGAAAAGCTTTCTGACATGAAAACCAACTGATCACTAAGAAGTATTACTGAAAATGCTCAGTGGCAAATTTCTCTGTGAAGCTGATTGTTCTTCCCTGTTTTTCATGATGAGGGAAGGAATTGGACTGGCATGTCTCAAAAGCAGCCCTGCCTTTAGTCACGCAGGGGGAGAACTCCATCTTTGTGTTTGCTCAGTCCTTTGATCTGCAGGGAAGCTGTGGAGCTGTAGACCTGTGTGGTTTAGGGTTTGAAATCTGGGTTCAGTTTTGGAGCTGAGAGGGAGTTCTGAGAAAAGAGCAGTTATGAAATCCATTAGCGTATTTCAGGTATTCCCAGGACACCCAGCGCACCTGGATTTGCACAACCAAGTCTGAGCACTGGGATGAAAGCAGAGGCATAACATATCTATTGAGACAGAAATAAGGGACTTAGCTCCTAATATGCACAGAAACACAAAAAGCTTTTCCCTTCCCAGACCCCTCATTACTTCAGATTTGGAAGCTAACACATCCTGCGACAGAGTGGCTCTTGCTAACTTGTTCTTTTTTTTTGTTATAATCAGGTTCAGTAAAGAGAACAAAGAGGGTATTGACCCCTACACCTTCCTGCCATTTGGGGCTGGCCCCAGGAACTGCATAGGGATGAGGTTTGCTCATCTTGTTGTGAAAGTGGCTGTGGTTGTCCTGTTGCAGAACTTCTCATTCAGACCCTGCAAAGACACACCGGTGAGGATGTGGGGTGATGTCTCTCATTATCTGCCCCTTACTCCCTCTGAGATGATCCTACTATTAAATGAGAATAACTGTTTAAATCTTCTCAGTTAATTGTAAGGAGTTCACCACAAGTTAATTATGCTTTTTTTTTAAAAGCCTCTACAGAAGCATATTTAATGTTGGTGGGATGTTTTAGGCTGAAATCCCTGAAGTCCTGTGCCTGTCTTTGGGTGCACCTAAATTGTGGGGTGCTCTCTCCCCCACAGTGCACTGTTGGTCTGTTTGACCCAGCTTAGGAAGACCCTGCTCTAGAAAGCAGGAAGAGAATATCCCATAGCCCGTGCCAAAGCTGTGTTTTGCAAGACAAGCATGGCTATTCTTTGTGGGACATGCCAAGACACCAAAATTCATCTCTTATGACCCAGGGAAGTCCCTAAAGGGTAGCAATCACAAAATGAGTTTCAAGCAAGCACAAAATGGGTTAAGTTTGAATTGGTGACCCTCTCCCTCTTTGGGGCTATGCAAGATCCCATCTGGCTTTGGTTTGCCCAGGATCCCAGTGAATGCTGCATACAGTACTGGTGGGATGGGCCTTGCAGGGTGGGAGTGTTTGACATGAAATAAATGCAGGAGCTGTTGGAAATGATGTGTCAGTCCAGCCCTGCTGAGAGCACAGCAGCTCCTGTGCCTCAGGCAGGCAGCACCACGGTGTTTCCAGCCTGACCCAGCTCCCTGCACTCACTGCTGCAAAAGGCTGGGCCATTATTACATTCTGTTGGTGAGGAGAGCTTGGGAAATCAGAGCAGAGGGGGCAACAAGTCACTCAAAGGACGTTTGTTGTAAGAAACAGAAAAGTCCTTATTAAATTATTACTTGGCACGGGTGCTCAGCTGGAATCTCTGCAGATTCAGATTGCAGCTCAACTGGTAACCTGGAGGTGAAAGACTGTAATAGTCCATTAACAATGCAGTGACCTATCCACCCTCCCCCAAGTCTAATGACATTTTTCTAGTCCTCTGCAATCCATAAAATTGATTCTTTTTATAACTGCCTTTAATTAAAAGGAGACAAGTTAAATATGTATTGTATTATTGGTGCCCATAGGTTTATGGGGCTCTTTCAGCCATTTTTTTTACAGAAGGTGTCATGTACATCAGAGTGGGAGGGAAAATTTCATGCTGGAACATCCCTTTGGAACATGTGTATGGAAGCTGCAGCCTCCTCTCACTGCTCCAGTGATGGCACACTGGGCTCCAAGCCATATTGCTTAAATTTCCTGAAACAAAGCTTACTGGGATATGGGGGTGAATGGCTGTTGGGCTGGGGGTGTGTCACCCTTGTCCTGGTGGGGAGAGAGGGAGCTGAGATATGAGCAGCATCCATTGGTGGGGGAGACTTAAAACACCCTTCCCTCCCTTGCAAGATGGTTCCTCCTACACCAGCTTTAAATGGTGTTTCTAATGAGATTCCCAGCCTACCCATGGAAGGCCCTTTCATGTTGAGGATGCTTTTGGTCTGAGCAGCAATTTTAGTTTTGCTCTTCCTGGAGAACTTATTGCTTCTCCAGCTCCCATTATGATCTAGCTGCCCTTAGCACTGCCACCCTTGTGCATTAAACAACATGGCACTGCATGCCCCCATTTATCTGCAGCACCCTGGCTGGGGTCTGGCTGCTCTTCCCCCCACGTGCAGCCTGTTGATGAGTGCACTGAGCTCTTTGTACCACGTAAAGCCAGAGCTCACCAACCAGTCTATCCAAGAGCTGAGGGCTGTTCAACACCTGCTGGTGGCTGCTCTGCATGAGCAATAGCGATGGTCCTGCTGTAAGTACACCTGTGAGCTGGGACATGCATTGAAAACAAGTGGTAGCTGGGATGTGTGTGAGCTGTAGGGCTCCTGTTGTCCTGTCTGTCCTTTCTCCCAGCTGATGTGGCTGTTTTGTTGTTTTTCCCTCCTGCTCAAGATCCCACTGGTGCTGGACTCAAAAGGTTTCATGCAACCAAAGAAGCCCATTGTCCTGAAGATGGTCCCCAGAGCCCAGGCTGACCTGAAGAAGTGAAAGAAGCAGGAACAGAGCAAGAGACTCTTATTTAATGGTGCCTCCTCCAGCTCTTGAGAGGATTCAAGGTTAATGTGTGCACTGCAGGAGTGTCAGGGGGGCAGCCCCCCCCATTTCATGGGGGTTTGGCCCAGCACAATTTCATGAACATTATTCTAATGAACACGAGCCCCGGGTCCTGCTGTCCCCAGTCACAATAGGCATTTTGCAAGACCATTTGCACTCCAGTTATTTGGACGTTTTTTTCTCTCTCTCTGAAGAGGCACTTTTCTAAGCAATTTGATTCCAGACACTGTCAGTCTCTTCTGGCAGTGTAATTTAAATCAAGATGGGGAGAGCAAATTGCACATAGTTAAGTAATGCTGCCGTTGCTCCTGTTCCCTCTGCCTGCTGGGTGATTCTGTGTCTCCTGGTTTTACCCTCCTGGGAATGCAGAGTTGTCCAGGGCGTTTCCTCAGCTCTGTGCTATGACCCTGACAAGTGTTAAAATGGTAACGTCCTTGCAGGACTGAATGCCTGCAGCAGATTTTCTGATGCTGATTTATTTCGATTTTGGTATGATTTTAGATGGCTTTTGTGTGATTCCAAGTGCAGATGGGTTAACTGGAGGAGCCCAGAGAGAAGCAGTTACCCCTAAGGACTGGAGATTTGCAGAGTGGAAGTGTCCCACATGTGTTTCCTGATTGTTTGCTTATTTTATCATGAGCATGCAGCCCCCTGCCATGGGAGGGATTGTCAACACAGGCACCATCCATATTGTTATCATGACACCTTTTAGTCTGATTTATATTAGGCCACTGTAAGACCAACTTAACTAAATTAATAATCATGCAAGATGCAGCACTGAGAGCCTTCAGATGTCCTGGGCAATCCTGTCTGCAAGAAAGGTGCCTTTGCCTATTTAAAGCTTCAAAATCTTGCCAAACTTTGTAATTTTTGTACAGTCTAGAATTTAATATTGTTCTTTCAAAAACTGCTGCAGGAATGCTAACTGCAATAAAAAGTTCACTTGCCTCTTCTGTGTCCAGCTGATGCCAGTCTCTGCTGCTGTGATTCTCCATGCACAAGTGACTCCATCTGTGAATCTCATCAGCCTTTGGCCAGGTGATGAAAACTCTTTTTATCCTGGATGAATCCCTGTGGGTACCATAAATCCTAGGAGCTGCTCCTGGAGGTGCAGAGCTGAAGATACAACAGCCCAAAAGGAACAGCTGAGCAGAGTCATTGAGGGTGTGAAGTGATTCCTATTGCAAAAGGAATTTTATTCACTACGTAGCAGTTTTTATATTTCTTTTATATTCTTTTTATAGAGGTAGATAGATTAAACATATGTTGTTATATATTTTTTTCATACTTACTTTCTATATTTTTAGGAATTGAGTAGAAAACCTCAGAAGGGATATAATAACCTTTCTGCAGCAAATTAAATTCCCCAGTGAAAGACACCCTTGACTGGAAGTGTAGGGGAGGAGTGAGGCTGCTTCTCTAGAGAGTCATCAATGAGCTGGGTTAGAAAATTCCCAGCAGCTCAGGCAGCCATGGCTTGCCCTTCTGCCCTCCTCACCTGCAGCACTGCAACTCCCTTCTGCCACCAATGTCCAAAGGTGACAATCCATCTTTGTTTTCAGCTGTTGCTGTCCTCTTCCAAAGTCAAGGCAGGGTCTTTGTCACAGCACATGGACTAAATGTACAGGCAGTCACACCCCTGGAGGACAGACAGCTGAAAAGTGCCTGCACCATCACAGTGGTTCATAACAAGGGGCATGGAAAATCCTCTGCCTTGAGAAGTGACCAAGAAGATGAGGGTGACAAAGTCACCTGCAGTGTCACAGGGATGAATTAATGGCCTTGCTGGGGCAAAGGCCAGAGCTTGCCTGGTGGCAGTGAGGAAAGGGTTTTGCCTCCTCACCCCATGCCCTTGATGGAATCAATCACTCACATAGAAATGTCAACACTATGGGAAAACATCCTTCAGGATAATCTCTCTCACAAAGCTGCTTAACATTTTGGAAATATACAGTTCACTTGGTATCAAGTGTCAAAGGGTTTCTGCCCCTCTCATGTCTTCAAAGGCATCTTCATCTGCTGCACCCTGTGCCAAGGGAGTGGGGGAGCAGAGCTGGGCTGGGAATGCTGCTGGACCTGCAGAGAGATGGACACAGCACTGCCTCATCCCCCAGTGCCTGGTGGGGTTCTGCCAAGAGACAAAACTGGAGTTCTGCCACACCTCATCTTTGTTTTGCTGAATTTTGTGCTTAAGAGCAGGAAGCACACATCTGTATGGGTTCCCAAGTGTCCTAGAGGGAGGTTTGCCAACAGATTTGGCTTTCTGGAGTGGTTTGGGTGAGATCTGGCAGTGGGGAAATGCTTGGATGCTGAATTCTCCAGCAGGTTCAGTACCTGGGACTGCTGTTTCTTGGGTTTATTCCAGACTGAGCAGCTGTCTGGGAGATGTTTGGTGTCAACCCTTTCTGGTCTGATTTCCAGAGGTAACCACTCCCCCATATCCAGGGGAACTGGAGCTGTGCTCTTCCACAGCCCTGTGCCTCAGTTTACCTGCACCTATAATTTTTTTAAAGATTTCCACTTAGGCAATAGTGAAATTTGATGTGTGTCCACCTTATGCCATGCTTTGATTCAGATTCCAGTGAAGTCCCAGAGTGAGCAAAAGGGTTTGCTTTTGGAGGGGACTAAAACTATGTGTTTCAGGAGCTCCCCTAATATATTCCAGCTGCTGACAGCTTGGAGCAAGTCCTTCACTCCCCCTAAAAACCATCCAGGATGACTGTAGGGCCCTCAGTGTGAGCTCCTCTGCTCTGCATATCCCCTCCTGCAGCAGAGCACTGCTTCCCAGAGCAAACAGAACTCAGCTCAGCACAGCTCCTTCTGGAACAACAGTCCCCCCTTGAGTGGCATCACTCCAATCTGCTCCCACTCATTTCTACTTCAGTTATTTTGGCTCCTGCCAAGCCAGAGCATCCATTTGCACTTCACAGGGTGCTCCCTCTCTGCAGTGCTCTCACTGTGGGCTCCCTGTGTGCCCTGGTGCTCCCTGGGCCAGGCTCAGGAGGATTAATCATGCCTGCCACAATTTACAAAGGACCTGGAGCTCTCCTGCCCCTGCCCCTGGCTTGCATAGAGGTTGTCTGTATTATTGCTGCTGGTGCTGTGCTGTACCCACTGCTGAGGAGAGACAGGCCTCCAGACACCCATATTGAATGCTCAATTTGGTTAAAATCGATGAGATAATCAGCCCAGAGAGTCTGCCCAAAGGTCAGGAAGCAGTGATTTTTTCCTCCAGCAACTTTGGTCCCGAGCTCTCGTTTCAGTGTGAAGATTGCAAACCAAAGCACTTCAGCAGGTAGGTTATCAAAGGGTTCTGAGTGCTGGTAGTTAGCTGACAGGCTGATGTAACAAGGGCATAACAAGGGCTCCTAAAACAGGCAGGTAAATTTTGGCAGTGCTTTTTTCTCTAAATCGAGCAGGAGATGGTGCAGGGCAGGCTGGAGTCCTGCAAGGCAAAATGCAAAGAGCCTCGAAGAGGAGCCCACCAATGTGGAGAAAGAGGAGGATGGCAGGAGAAGGAGGTGCTGTGGGAAGGACCAGGTGGGTATAACGCTTTTTCTCACCCCATTCCCCAGATTTCATCCCCCATCTTGTGTCTCTTCAGTCCTACATGTGCTGTCACCAGAGCCAAAGGCCGCAGCAGGGGGAGGATCCATCTCACCCCTCTCATCACTGCAGCACACGCTCTCCAGCAGCTGGACACACGACACACTGCGGGCTGGATTTGCAGAAACGCTTTGATCTTTCATCTTTAAGCTCAGTGATTCAATTCCCCACAGAGCCAAGGTAAACGGCGGCGCTGCCGCTCTGGCGGGCCCGAGGTTCCAAGTCAAACAGCAGTCGTTTAACCACACTTTTAAAGCTCGTATCATTTGAATGTCATATGTCAAACTGATGCTACTTCCACTGAAGGCAAATAGCTGTTTATTCCCCTCACAGCTGCCCAGCAGTCTGACATTCATTACCGAAGCCTTGCAGCTGCCAGGGATTGAAGCTACCTGTAGGAGTGTGTCCATCAAAGCCTTCCACCTCTTAAGGGTTATTCCCTGCAATACCAGCTCCTACAGTTTAGTTCAGGCTCATTTTACAGCTGCTGTCGTTCCGCAGTTGTTTTTTCCTATGTCTGAACAAGGTCAGGCATTGCTTTTTGCCCGTTCCCTCCCAAATTATGTCGTTAGCTCATTTTTCATGGTTTCTCCAGGGTTCAGGCTCGCTGTCACTGTGCACCAGCCCCTGAGGTTTATGATGTGAATGTTCCACAGCTTTGGGCAGCAACCAGCACACAGGACTGCCGTGCTGGTGGCCCAGTCTTGGCATCTTGATGCAGCTCCAGCTCTCCTTGAGGCCAGCACTGAGAATTCTATTTCTGGGACATAAGTTCACGCACAAAATATCTGATATTTTGTAGTTTATTAGGCACTAAAATGTTCAATTGGCTGCAGAGGAGTTTACAGAAGAGAGGGAAAAAAAAAAAAAAAGAAGAGGCAACAGAGATGATCAGATTAGTTTGCATTTAGACAGTGCCCTGAACCTCACAGAGCAATTTACACCTGTGCGAGGAATCTGCAGAGTTCTATCGAATCAGACCTGGGGCGTTTTACAGCCACTTTGCACGAGCATAAACGACAGCATAAGGTGCAAAGGAAACAGCCGGTCGGACAATTACAGAGCGTCTTCACACGCCTTATTAATCCTCATTAGAGCCCTCTGTGCTGAGACTCGGCGCCTTTCCTTCCCCGAGCAGGGCCAGCGAGGCTGTGGAGCCAATTTAGCCACCTGCCAAACTCGCGGGGTCCGACTGCTGCTATTGACGTGTCCTTGGTCCTGGGGAGCTGGAGGCTCCTTGCGAGAGCCTGGGATGCATCTTGCTAAATTACAGTGATGGAAATCTCGGCTGCCTCCTGCCTTAGCAGGACTCTGAGCAATGTGTGTTGTTATGCTCAACTCTCTGTATGTCCTGTTGTCCATTTTTTTCCTCTTTAAAGCCTAGCTGTGGGTGTCTTAGGAAGGTGGGGTGATGCTCATCTGAAAGATGAAACCCAGTTTCTTGCCTGTGCTGATACACCCGTGAAACAGCTCTGGGTGCTGTGTGTGCATGCAGGGTCGGGAGCCTCAGGACACAAGGAAATGGAGGGAAAAAAGGAGATTATTCAGGTGCTGTAGGAAGCTCTGCCTGCACGTGTGTGAAGCACTCAGGTTAACGACGCAAAATACAGCTGGCAGCACGGCTCTGTCTGCAGGGGCATTTCACGGTGCTGTGATTGTTTGCTGTAGCTCTCACGTTTATGGCTGCTACTGAAACTGCTGGAAAGAGAGCAGCTACACAGTGTTTCTGAGCACTCCCAGAGAGCTCGCCCTGCTTCCCACTCAGCTTAAAGGCTGCTAGACCTGAACTTTTCCCAGTGAAAATGACAAGAAAGACCTGGAGAGTGTGGAGCCATGCAGGCAGGAGACAGCCTGAACAGTTAGACCAGTTGTACACAGTAGTGAGATTAGCTGTCTAATGTCCTTTCTGGGAATCTTATTAATGTTAT